GTAGAGCCGACAGCCTTTCATAGACGATTTGTAGTCGTTCCAGAACTCCAGCCGGCCCTGCTCATCCCTCCCATCAGCCAACGCGCGGTCTTTCATGCGATTGAGAGCATGAAGACCTTCTACAGCGAAGCCCGTATCACGCAGCCCTCCGAGATAGAACGTCACAGTCTGTGATGCGTCGTCCAGAATCTTCCAAATACGCGCTCGGTCAAGCTCCACCGATTTATCTTCTGAAGAAACCTGAGTACAACACGACTCGCACTCAAAAGAGTTGTAACGGATAATCACTAACCGCTGGGCTAGTCGTTCCAGGTGACAAAGGGATGCTCCGAAGACTGATGTGCAGCTGAGACGAGGACGTGAGGCTCTGCGACTGACCAGAACCAGTCTCCTGCGAGCCTGGCCCAATGCAGCCTTCAACGGCAATCTGAACAACTTCACTAAAAGTCAAACAGCCGTCCGCTTTTCATTACCTTGCCAGCTGTACTTGTTCCCAGGAGCGGCGTGATGATAGTGCTAGAAGGATGCGGTACTACCGCAGCGGTAGTAGTTGTGAATAGACCATTGAGGCACAGTTCACTACAGTCTGAGTCAACAGTAGTGTGACCTCATGTAATTCGTCGCATTTTCTAGTTCATGTTCTGACGGTTCGACAAGTTGTATTGTGGTTATCATTAAAGTGACTGCTCCTCGATCCCTGCATCTTCCATTAGGTAAGCCTTTGCCCAAGAATGGTACATGTAAGCATTATCGACATTCCTACCGATGGCTCCGATTCCCTTGCTGTGGGATGGCATACCCCTGCGATCAGTGCCATGATGCGGGCTGGGCCGACCATCATGCCGTGTGGGCTAAGCGTATGCTGTGTGGATGGTGCGCTACCGAACAGAACTTCGGGCCAGTACCATGCAGGAAGTGTGGAAGACCACTGAACAAGATACGCACTAGGTGAGGGGGAAGCATTAGTTGGTTGATGATGGCTTACTGATCAGTCATTGGGAAGGCGGTGAGGGATGCCGAAATACGAGCTCTATGAGTAAGAATGATAAAAAGAAGTACGCGGGGAAGAACAAGACTGTCAGTCGGAAGGCGGCAGCCTCTATAATGGCGGGCGGGAAGAAGAAGAAGTAACATCATATTCATTGAGGGATTACAATTGTCATCATATTGACTGGTTTCTACGAAATCAATTTGTGCTGACTTGCCAGTTGTAATGCTATACCCACTTTAAGTGGGGGTCATCGTCGAGCCGAAGAGGAGACCACAACTAGAAGTAGTTTAGACAACGATGACCATCTCCAACCACTTAACCTTCTGGAGCCGATGGCTGACTAAACAGCATCCTTCCCCTCCCGACAATGGCTTCTGAACATCCCTTCCGGTCAGGCGACAACAGGCGTCATCTGGGCTACGTAACTCATCGAATGCGCACTGTTGCGAGCGTGTGGTTTTGACTAGCGCAGTTCTTATAATAGAGCCGTGTGTGGTACACACTGTGTACTACGGTAGTAGTGCTCACTGTACACAGTGTACAACATATAAGTTCTATACGAGGAATAATCTCCTCAAATTTCGGCGACCTCAGACACAGTATTCTCCATAGGCCCCGTCTACAATCGCGAACGATCTTAATGCTCTGAGTTTGACAAGAAGACCGCCTTAAACCTGCAGTCTCAGACGAAGGAATTTTTGAGAACCAGTATTAGGGTCGGTGCCCAGCTTCAGCAGATGTGATCTGCGCTCGTATCATCACTCGAAAAATTCTAGGACTTGGAGCTTAAAAAGCACTCTAGGAGGTCCCCGCAGATGTCTTCCACTCAACATGAGATCAGAATCAGTCGACTGAGTCGGCTCGACTCAGCGGGTCGACAGAGAACGTTGTAGCTACCTAAGGTAGCCTAGCCTCATGTAACTAGTTGAAGATCAGCAGCTCCTCTGAGTCGTGAGTTTATCAGAACATTCTACAGCACGAACGGGAACTGGATTTCAATTCAACACACAGCCGGTATGGTCGATAAGCTGTTATCCGAGAAAAAGACCAAAGAAAAGATGAAAGAAGATGACCAAACCGAGTTAGCAGGTCGAGTCGACTCAGTCGATCCGCCAAGAGAACTCGTGAAACAGGATGAAGTCTAGTTCTTTGCCATGCGTTCTGAACTCATAGCTCGAACTTGAACTCCTTATGAATAACGTCGATAGAGGGTGCCCAATTGACGAGTGGATGTAACCAAATATGGAGCCCACCTTCCCCGATGAGTTCCCAAGTGAAAATGTCGTGGTTTTTGGTATTCATCGTGAGGTCAAAGGCGATCGAGATGCCTTGATTATTCGAATCCCCAGTGGTCTCTTCGAAAAGGGCCTCCATTCCGAAGTCGGAGTTGGGCCCGATATGAGCCGTGACGACTTTAGAGATAGGCAAGTTGATTGCATCGTGACCGAGAACATCGCCTTCGACAGTCGCTTTTATCCCGATGTCAGCCGTCCATGTATCAGTTTTCGGGTCGTACTTGCCTCTGCCGTCCCCCACAGTATTAGCCTCTATAGTGACAGAACCGGCGACTGCCCCGCCAAGCTCCTCCTTCTTCACCACCTCAGCGCTGCCCCCACCCGTGATATTGAGACCAGTCGGTTTTACACCATGAGTTGCCAACTCAACGTGGAAGTGTACCGACTTGGTGGGATCATTGATGTCAAAGACATAAACTGTCATATTCACCGTGAACATCCCCGCAAAGCCTATAGTGCCCGTGGCACAGAAAGGCTCAGTAGCAGGCTTGTGAGCACCAGTACAACCTTTTGGATAGGAGATCGGCGAACCTGCTGCTCGCCTCAGCTTGATCGAGCTTTCGACGAAAGGTGCAAAGCCACAAACGAATATCAGGAGCATCATTCTCATCATGGAAGTATTGGATACACTCTTGAAATGTCAACCGGAATTGTGTATGCGTCAAACTGCTAATGTGACGCCCCATTTGCACGCATTGCGTGTCACGCAATAACGGAGATGGGAGCTTTGTGATTCTTAGTTAGAGTCAGAAGACTTTCCGAGGGTGGAGGAGGCATAGTGGAGACGGGATGATGCAATAATAGAGGCGGAGCGAGCAAAACGAGCCTAGTATACATTACAGCTCGCGGTTGTTCGTCTGCGCGCGTGTGTGTGTCCTTCCGTCCGTTTGTGCGTGAGCACAAATTCTGCTACAAGTAGAGCGACCTCGACGACGAGAAAAGCATCGCTCTGTTGAAACTCTAATCACATTGAAAATGTGGAGATTGGACAGCTCGGAGTTGTCAGACCAAGATATTCTTGCTGCTAAAAGAGTAAGAAAAGGACCTATCCCCCAAAGGATGCTTTCGTGAGGCTCTCACGGTGAGGGGGAATGTTAGTCGTTGGTCTACAAGATTATTCCACAGCCCGTTGGACAGGAGATCGGCGAAATGCCCGACTCTGTAACATCCCTCGAGGGGAGGGATAATACGGTCAAGGGCTCCCCCGTAGCCCAGCATCCATGTGTTGCAGGCTCCACTCACGAGCAACAGTTACTTTGAGTTTGCTCGAGTCCAAGAAGACAGTGCAGCCTAGCTAGATTAGAGAACGGTTGGCGGCGCAAACTTGGCGCTGTTAGAGCCTCACGACTCTGAGTTAGAGCCAGAAGACTTCCTGAGGATAGGGGAGACTCAGAAACTAACAATTACGCAAACCATATGATAATCACGCTATTCACGCTAATAGCTATTCAACTCACAAGCGAGCAATCAGCTTGATCGTTGAGCACGCATGCGCATAGTATATTGCGTGTTGGCAACGTGGTATCGCAGACTAGGGATGAGAGACGAGTACGTCGTCTGAGACTCTCAGACGACGTACTCGTAGAACGCAAGAAACGATCAGCTGCTGACGAGGGTGTATACCACTGAGATGGTGGAACCGACTGTTTGTAGCTATGCCAGCTACTTATGAGATAGCAAGATTAAGTGTCCGGTCAGCAACACGTGCCTCAACATAGAGGGCCTGTTTCATAGGAGGAAATTGCATCTTTAACTCAAGTAGCACCTGAAGTATACAGTACGCGCCATATGACGTTTCACAGATGGTTTGGGCTTGTCCTTACGGTCAGCAGCACGCTTCTGAGCTCTTGTTAGGGGCTGATTTCTTGTGTTGTAGCCGTGACCGCGTTGTCCTTCCGGCTCCGTCTTCTTGCCAGATCCTCCAGAGGCTTCAGGTTGAGTCTTCAACGTCCGAGATTTCACCTTACGCAATTTAGTCGAACCGATAGCGCGTCTGTGGTGGGTAGTCAGGTCATCCTCTGCATTAGAAGCTGCTCGGCCAGCAGAGGTGGTGGAGCTCTGGCTAGGCCCAATCTCTTCGAGACTTGGCAACTGCTCTAAGATGGCCGTTCGATGAAACTGAATTCAGCTGTAAAATTGAACTGTAACCGTAGCTAGGTGTGGAGGGCTGGGGTGATTCAATAAGCGTCCCCAGGACGCTAGGAGCGCACCAAATGAGAATGCGCTAGGGTCAGGGAGATAAAAATGACCAAAATATTTTTTGTCGACTTTAAAGTGCGCGACTTGAATTTACAGGCAATCAAGCACGGGGAGCTTAATGGTGAAGAAATTAGGTAGAAGTTCGTCAAAATGAAAGAAAAAAATGCCCGCCCAGTTCGCGCGTTTCTAGATGACGCATGTTATGGGATTCTGCGCACATCAATGTGCTTGCGTGCTTCCTGATATCTATAGCGAATGATGATGGTAGTTTGTCCAGGAAGGCACGTTACCCTTCCCTCTCCCCTTGAGTCACTCCCCTAAGTGTCCGTAGCTCAGCTATCTCTACAAGCTCATCAGTACTTGTGTTATCCAGTCCGTGGGCTTTACTATCACATCACACCCTTCCGATACATCTACTCAAACCCGTTACACGCGTACTGTACCTCAAGTAATTGGAGTATTCGATTTCACTACCTTAGTAAACACGTTAAGGCGCCTTAAGTTTAGGAATACTCAAGTCGCCTCAAGTTTCTGTGCATATACTCAAGTATTTACGAGAAGCATTTCACAACATGCGTACTTAAGGGGAAACTTAAGATATACTATACCTT